TTTTTTTTTGAGACAGGGTCTCATTCTGTTGCCTGGGCTAGAGTGCAGTGACATCATCATAGCTCACTGCAACCTCAAACTCCTGGGCTCAAGCTATCCTCCTGCCTCAGCCTCCTGAATAGCTGGGACTACAGGCATGTGCCACTATGCCCGGTGAAATAAATTTTGAGGAAAGGAAAGCAATTCTGGGTTAGGCAAGATTGGATTAGTATTAGTCATTAGTTTGTTCTTTTCCTCAAAGAAATTTACAAGTTCTTTGCAGCTTCAGATCATTCCACGTTAGAATCTTTTATTAATTCATTTCTTAAAAACATAACCTATTTTTCTGCTTTGCTCTCAATTATAATTATGTTTTTGCTTTAGAATAAAGGAACATGAAGAAGAAGAAGAAAGAAGGAAAAAACAAGAAGAAAAAGATGCTGAAGAAATAAAGCGACAGAATTCACTATATCAAATAGAAATGAGAAAAAAGCTAGAAAAGAAAAAGGAAGAGATACATGAAAGCAGGAGACTGTTTTTTGTAAGTTAAAAGTGCAAAAGTACAAAAATGTATAAAGTCAAATGCCTAACTTTTTTATTGATGCATAATATTTGTACATATTTGGGGAGTATATATGTGGTATTTCGATAAATGCAACAATATGTAATGATCAAATCAGGGTTATCTATGACCTTGAACATTTATCATGTCTTTGTGTTGGGAACATTTGAAATCTTCTCTTGTAGTTATTTGGAAATATACAATATATTGTTTTTAACTGTAGTCACCCTATTGTGCTATTGAATTCTAGAACTTATTCCTTCTATCTAACTGTATGCTTGTGTATTCCCCACCCTTCAACACCCTTCCCAGCCTCTGGTAACTATCATTCTACTCTCTACCTCCATGACATCGTCTTTATTATGGGCCCAGCACACTTCCGCTGTATGACTCTGCTATCTTCCTTTTTAGTTCCCACATATGAGTGAGAACATGCAATATTTGTCTTACTGTACCTGAAAATGCCTAACATCTAATATATTTTTTAAAAAAATAGCAGAGTATAAGTTTTCAAATTTGTAAAGTTAGCCTTTGGTTGCTAGGACTGCATTATAGAGATGTATGCTTTACTATTAAAATATTTTGGATGTAAAAAAAAATAGTGGAGTAGAAAACAAGTTGCTATTAAGTTGGTTTTCTAAGGGAATATGTACTTTTAGGGTAGCTATATTTGCTATGGTTTTATTGTATATATGCTCTCATGCATGAATGAGAGAAGAAAATGAGATTTTTAAAAAAATGAATTTATTTTCTGATCCTTAAAATGGTGGTTGTGAAGAATGAGTGGGGTGATTTATATTTAGTGATCTGTTGTGTCATTAATATGTGCTCAATAAATGGTAATACCTTGTGAATGTTGCTTTTATTTGATTTCATAATCTTTTTACATTTTTTTCTTTAAAAGTAATTTTTATTCTTAAGTAATATGTACATGGAATTAAAACATCAAACAACACCAAAAGTTTTTTTTTTGAGACAGAGTCTCACTCTGTTGCCCTGGCTAGAGTGAGTGCCGTGGCGTTAGCCTAGCTC